ACTTGGGATTTTGGCCAGTGATCCACACCTTTTTGTAAAAATGTTTTGAGAACATTTTCATGTGCATACTAGCTTCGAATGTAGTGTGAGATATCCAGAGGTGTGGAAAGTTAATGATATGTGTATATGTTGTGTAACTGTGTAAGTTGTGACGATTATGGCTTGTATTAGTATGGTATGCAGTTGTGTAGTATGAAACTGTGACTATGGCTATGAAAAGCCAATGCATATGGTTGTGAGTATATGTGTTTGTCTATGAATGCATGGATTCAGATGAATTATTTTGCAGGATCATATGGAAGAACTGTTAGCCCATTACGCGAGTAATTCATGTCAAAATTTTATTTGGGTAAATTTTGATAATTAATGTAACGCCCGAGATTAATTCCGCTGCAATTGTATGAACAATATGATTAGGCAAAACGTATAGGATAGGGTGTTACATTGGCTATGCAACATGAAGTCACAGCTTTAGAAAGAAACAAGACATGGGATATTGTGCCTCTTCCTCCGGATGTGATTCCCATTGGCAACAAGTGGATCTATAAGATCAAATACTTGTCCACAGGTGTTATTGAAAGGAAGAAGGCACGACTTGTTGCAAAAGGGTACACTCAACGTGAGGGCATAGACTACATGGAAACCTTTGCTCCAGTAGTTAAAATGACCACGGTCAGGCTATTTTTGGCTGTTGCAGCAGTTCGTAACTGGCACCTTCATCAATTGGACATCAACAACGCCTTTTTACATGGCGATTTAACTGAGGATGTGTACATGAAGCTTCCTCAGGGTGTGGCAGCTCCACCAAACATCATCAACCCAGTTTGCAAGCTTCGCAAAGCCATCTATGGCCTCAAACAGGCCTCTCGGCAATGGTTCTCCAAGCTGTCAGACAGCCTTTTGCAGCAGGGTTATTCTCAGAGCAAATCATCTTTATTTACGTTGATGATCTAATTATTGGTGGGAATGATCTTCTGGAAATCAATCAGATTAAAACTCATTTGCATCAAGCTTTCAGCATAAAAGATCTGGGAGTTCTTAAATATTTTCTCGGTTTGGAAGTGGCTCGCAGCCCCAAGGGCATCCATCTTTCACAGCGTAAATACACGCTGGAAATACTTGAAGAAGCTGGTCATCTTGGAGCCAAACCAGCCGCTACTCCCATGGACTATAAGGTGCACCTGAAGATGGATGATGGTTCTGAACCTGTTGATGCTACTGCTTATCGGAGCTTAGTTGGGAAGCTGATTTACTTGACCACAACTCGTCTTGATGTCAGCTTCGCCACTCAGCAGGTAAGTCAGTTCATGTGCAATCCCACTGCTACTCATCTCAAGGCTGTTCAACGCATTCTCAGATACCTCAAGAAGAGTCCAGGAACTGGTATTTTCTTCTCTTCACAGTCCTCTCTTGAATTGAAAGCCTTCAGTAATTCGGATTGGGGAGCTTGTCCGGATACGCGCAGGTCAATCACTGGCTATTGCTTGTTCCTGGGTAAGTCTCTTGTCTCTTGGAAGTCCAAGAAGCAATCCACCGTCTCTCGCTCTTCCTGTGAGGCAGAGTATCGAGCATTGGCACACACAACCTGTGAGATTCAATGGCTTCTTTTTCTTCTTCAAGACTTCAAGGTGCCCCATCCAAAGCCTGTTTCCTTATACTGTGACAACCAATCTGCTATCTATATTGCTGAAAACCCCACGTTTCATGAGAGGACGAAGCATATCGAACTAGATTGTCACTTAGTTCGTGAGAAACTACTTGCTCAAGTCATCAAAGTCCTCCATGTGCCTTCACCTCACCAGCTTGCAGACATATTCACTAAGCCCCTTTCTCCAGCACCCTTGTCTTCTCTTCTGTCCAAGCTTGGAGTGCTGAACCTCTGCCCTCCAGCTTGTGGGGGGGTAACAGCAGAAGAAACGGTAGTTTTTTCTTCCTCAAAAACGACAGTGCAGAAGGCATGATCACGAGATAGTCACGTGGTTTCACAACGGTCGACAACGACCTTTTTCACTTTACCAATTCACTGTTTATCTCTTTTACCGCCTGAGCTGGTTTTTTGTCTTGTAATGAACTCTTTGATATATATAAGAAAGGAAAAGGCAGAAGGAAGATCAACTTTCCTTCTTCCAATTTTCTATGAGAAATTTGTTTGTTAAACAGGTGTATTATATTGCTGAAGTTAAAAGCGATTTACATTAATCTCTAATCACAAAAGCAATATGCTAGGTCGCTTTACTCACAAGCGATCCCATTATCGCTTTAAACTTTTTTCAATTTATGAGAGCCCACTAGTATATGAGAGCCACTCCAAATTCATATCACTTTCACTTTTCATTTGTTGTCTTAACCAGATTAAGATCCCATGCATAGGCGGAGTCAGGGGGGTTTGCGGGACAGGGGTAATTTTTGGAGGAAAAAAAATAATCCACATATATTTATATATTTGTACGGATCGAATTAAACACTTATAAGAAATACAAAGATGTTTTAACATTACATCATAACTCATTTCTTGTTCATTAATTCACAAAAAATAATTAAATGATTGGTCTCATTCATGGACATTATTATTCGACAACAGCTCGTTAAGTATTATCACGATATTATGACTGATGAGGGATTTGTTGGTTGAAAATACGCGCCAATGATTTTTTCGGAGGAGTACATCATTTAATCAAAAGACTTATTGAGAAGTCGCTGTCTTACTCCATCACTTTTAAGAAACAAGAGAACAATAGCCTGACAAAAAGTTCGGTCAATTTTAGGTGTCCTTTTGGGCGTCCAATAGAACGCATCATTGATTTAAAATATTGATAAGGTAAATAAATACCCAATCTATTCAATGCTAGGCCGTGAATTATCTCGAGTAATGGTGGAAACAAATGTGTATATATTAGATGGGGCTATATTAAGAATAAGATTTGAATTGGCAATGAGTTTGTTAATAATTGTTTAATGGGATACATTGTAAGCGACTCACTTAAGAGTGTAAACAATAAATGTATCTTACATTTCTTTCATAATATGAAAACTCGTCCTGGTTATATTTGCAAACAATAATTGTATTAGTCAGTTTTTTTGTTTCTCTATGAATGAATTATTTATGTATCATTAGTTTTAATTATATTTATTAAATATTATATATATTCTGAATAGAATACAGGGGTGATTTGAAATCCTACCTCCGCCACTCATCCCATGAGCTCAATTAATTCCCCCTGCGGGCCTTCTTCATTTTTGGGTGGTTCAAACGGTGGAATTCGTCAGGTTGCGTACGTGTCAAAACCAATATTTTTAGCTACTACAAACGCAGAAGTGAACGTTTACTTAGATAATTGAAAAGCATGAAGAAGGAACAATCTTCCGATTAGCACAAGCCAATGCACTAAACGCCCTTAAAAAGGGAACTGCCGGCACTTTCAACTTGTTGATAGACACAACAAATTAAGAGAGAAACAGCAACAGAGAGAGAGGATAAATAGAACACCGTGCACTTCTACCATGCTATATAGCATTGGTGCTTTAATGTACAACTCAAAGTTGTACCATAACATTAAATGTATAAGTTTAGGTTGTACCATAAAGCAATTTGTAACATTATGTTATGGTACAACTTTACAACTTGAACGTGTACCATCACATAAAGGTACAAGTTCAAGTTGTACCATAAAAGAATTTGTACAAAAAGTATAGATACAATCTAAAGTTGTACCTTAAGAAAAAAAACCTATAACACCAATACTATATAGCATTGTAAAATTTCTCATAGAACACCCATGCTAATTAAGCAGCGATGCACCTTACCTTCCTAATTGGTTCCCCTCGGAGGATTATTAGACTACTACTCCTGCATTGACTAACTAGTGATTCAGCTAATTTTGTCCGAACCACATGGTGCATTCATCGTTGCTGGCCAAGCCAGAGATGTCGGACACGCATTGATAGTCCAAGAAGTTCTTGGCAACGGCGAGACAGTCTTTGCAGCTTTGTTGGTAATTTTCCTGGGAACAACTGGCGGAACCCGTAACGGAACCTGGGGAGCGGCTACTCGGGTATGACTTGGTGAAAAGAAAACCCTTCTTCTTCGGTGTCTCCTGCATCAATGCCCACGTAACCCTGATGTAGTATCCGCAACTTCCACCAGCATCAGGCCGGTGCAGTTTTGTTGCATGTAAATTGCGCTTCAACTCCCACGCAATATATTGCTACCAGCGCAATCTCTACCAGTTCCACGAGATTCTCATTTTCCGTCAGTTTCATACCCTACTCTCTGTTGTCAATCTCTTCGATAGATATTCTTCATAGAGATAACATAATTAAGCAATTCATTACTGTGGTCAATCGGTCTGGCCGCTTTTTTTTTTTTTTTAGGGACGGTTTGGCTTACAAAATTCTAATGCAAAGCGTATAAACGAAAACGACACAAAGACTTTTTTAACGTGGTATTGTCGGTGAGACACTAGCCCACGGAGAGGATCTCCCTCTCAGGTTTTAGTATTCTGTATTTTCGTAACTTCCTCTGTACAGTGCGGCACACATATATAGGGTTTACATCACTAACCCTATTTTGGATATTTACAAATCAGTCATTATATTTAACACCCTCCCTCAAATTGATGTTTGGTTCTCAACATCAATTTGCAAGAGAGACACCAATGCCTGCTAGATGAGACTGCTTTTGTCAAAAGATCGGCGGTCTGATCTTCAGTTCGCAGATATTGCAGCTGAATAACTCCCTCTCCTACTAGCTGACGTATATAGTGCACATGAACCTCTATATGCTTCGTTCTATCATGAAGAACAAGATTGAGAGCTATCTGCATTGCGCTGGTGTTATCCCCATTGAGCACCATGGGAGCTCGGCATTCTACTCCTAAATCTCGAAACACACGTTGTAACCACACCATTTCTAAACTGACCTCTGACATGGATCTGTACACCGCTTCTGTAGAAGATTTTGATACCTTATCTTGTTTGTGACACCTCCATGAAATAAATGACTATCCAAATCGAATGCCCCATCCGAACGTAGATCTTCTTGTGTTTGGGCACCCGGCATAATCTGAATATGCAAAAGCTTCAATTATAGATTCACCACCAACTGGGAAGAATAGACCAACCTCTCTTGTACCCTTTAGGTAGCGTAGAAGACGGTTGACAGCATCCATGTGTAAGGTCCGAGCAACTCCAACAAACTGACTTATGACATGCACTGCGTAGGATATGTCGGGTCTGGTATGTGTGAGGTATATTAAACTTCCCACCACACTCCGGTAAAAGGACTGATCCTCCAGAAGGTCTCCACTTTCTCGGGTGAGCTTCAAGTTTTGCTCCATTGGTGTAGAGCATGGCTTGCAGTCGGTCATTTGTGTAGCTTCCAGCAAATCTGTAATATATTTTTTCTGACAAACAAATAAACCATTCTTTGACCGATGTACTTCCAATCCAAGGAAATAAGAGACATCTCCCAATTCCTTAAGATTGAATGCCTGATGCAATGATTCTAACAATTCTTCGATGCCATCCTGATAGTTTCCTGTAATTATCATATCATCAACATAAAGTAGCAACGCCACTATTCCATGCACAGTGTGTCGAACAAACAATGAGGGATCATTATCACTTTGATGAAACCCAGCTTGCAGAATCGTTCCATGAAATTTTTCAAACCAAGCTCGTGGAGCTTGTTTTAAACCATACAGGGAGCGATTCAGCTTACACACCATGTCTGGTCCTCCTTTCTCTTATCCTGGTGGCCTCTCCATATAGATTGTTTCTTTCAGATCACCGTGTAAAAACGCATTTTTCACATCAAGTTGCCTAAGAGGCCATTCTTTCATAGCTGCTACTGCGAAAATGTTGCGTACGATTTGCATCTTAGCTACTGGAGCAAAGGTGGTAGGGCAAAAGCGTAATGCCAATTCCTATCTCGTAGTAAACCGGAAAGTTCGGGTATCGTCTCTCAGGGACTGGTACAACCCTAAGTTCTATCAATTTTATAGAGCAAACTATAGGCGAAAATGGTTTAATGAGATTATGAACTACTAGCAAAATAATAAAATTAATTAAGCAAGTAAAATGGTCGGGAGAAATTCAATGGAGAAAGCTCTGGGAGAAACACCGGGACTCACTACCTATCATATCAAAATTAATTCACATATTCCAATCAATTTAATCCAACTCTCTACAGCCAGGATATCACGAATGTGCTAGCTATCCCTGTCGGGAATTACTACGTACTAAACAATTAATTCAAATCCTACTGTAGTAGCTCAATGAATTAACTATATAGCATGAAGATCGATATCATATTTAAGACCGCATAGCACCTTATTTAATCCACTGTCGCTTCGATAAGTTACTATGTCACATGAAATAGGTTCAGTTATTAGGGTTTCACTGTCGCTAATAACCTAATCAACTACAAATCGATGTATTGGTGGCCAGTCAACACAAAGCATTAAGCAATTCCATGTAATAGAGATTGGAAGAAAAGAAATATGAATCAATCCATCAAATATAGAAATAGCTACATCCTATGGTGTTTCCCCCAGAAATTAGGGTTTAGTTCATGACGAAATCAAAAGATATAATCATGTTCATAATCATCATGTAACTAATCAAAAGTGTAGAAAAAATACTGAAAATATTTATTGCTTCCCTTCTCCACTCCGGGTTGCCAGCTGTTCGTCGTGACTCCTAGCTGCGCTCCGTCTCCTTGCTCGCGATCGCCAAGCGCTGCTGCTTCAATTATTCCCTTCGCGCACAACTGCTCTCCGCCCAAGCATTCTCGTCCCAAAATCAATTTCCAATCCGAGGCAGTGGTACAAGAGATTTGACAGTTACATGCTTGAGTTGGGCTACAGTAGAAGTCCATATGATTTTTGTGTGTATCACAACAAGGTGGATGATGGTTTGATGATCTTTCTTGTTCTGTACGTGGATGATATGCTCATAGATGCAAGGTCGAAGTCTGATATCCTGAAATTAAAGGGGCTTCTTAGTGTTGAGTTTGAGATGAAGGATTTGGGAGCTGCTTAGAAGATTTTGGGTATGGAGATTTATAGGGACAGGTCGAAGAAGAAGCTTTTCTTGTCACAGAAGAGCTACATCCAGAAGATACTGTCGAGGTTTCGCATGTCCCCAGCAAAGCCCTTGAATACTCCTAGTGCTTCAAATGTTCATCTATCCTCAGCTTATGAACCGCAGTCAGAGGCTGAGAAGGACTACATGTCGAGAGTCCCATATGCTAGTACAGTAGGTAGCTTAATGTACGCTATGGTATGCACTAGACCAGATCTTGCACGTGCTATTAGTGATGTCAGCAGGTTCATGATACAACCTGGGAAGGAGCATTGGCAGGCTGTGAAGAGGATCTTCCAGTATCTTAAGGGTACATCCGATGTGGGAATTAGCTTCTAAAGTGATACAGAGTGCTTGGTGACTCGCTAAAACACAACACCTAACAATGGCCAAGTGTAACCAATGAAAGGGACTGCAGTATAGTGGCACAAGTAAAAAAATATCGAATCCACGGGTCTCTAGAGTTACTATTACTCAGCTTCAGTTCATTATCTAGCAAACTAGATTAAGGATTGATTGATAAACTACTCTACTGACTACTCTACTAATTACAAGTTGGGAACTCACTTAGGTATGATTCCCCCTAGCTCCTCAATTAGGTCCAAGTTGCAATTACCTTTGGTTGATCTACTGTTGATTAAACTGCGGATGATCCTAAATTAGCTTGGAATCTCTTAAGCTGACCAAGCCCTCTCAGTCCAACTACCCGGCAGACGACTAGTCTTCACCAGGATAGAAAGCTGAGGCTATGAACACAGAACTCCACTACTGGAATGAATTCCAATACAAAGCAGAAATCAAGAGAATTTGATCAAGATTCAATTGACTCAATAAATCATGCCTCAATCGATTATAATCAAACAATAAAGCATCCAAAACTTCATACAAGAAAGATCCTAACTCATGGAACTAGGGTTACTCAAAACCTAAGTGAAGGGAAGTTACTCCATAGAGAAGAGAGAGACTGCAGAAATCTGATCTAGATCTTCAATCTCCATCTCCAAGCTTGATTCCCGAGCTCCAATGGTGAAGAAATCCTCCAAAATAGCTCCAAGAATGTTTCCAAGTCGCTCTCTCTCTCTAGGGTTCGTCCCTTGGGTGTTTGGGATCCAAAACCCAGCTCTCTCCCTTTCCTTTCGCTGAAAATCGGGTTTTAAACAGCAATTCCCGACTCACACGGCCAGGCCACACGGCCGTGTGGCTTTCCCAGCTGCCCGTGTGAAGGCTCGGTGAATTCCACACGGGCAAAAGTGCCCCTTGCACGGCCGTGTGGGTTGTGCCCGTGTGGCTTGCTCAGCCTCTGTTTAATGCTTCGTTTCTCCCTCGTCCGGACTCCGAATCAGTCGCCGTTTGATCCCAGACGCTCGTAGTCTTGTCCTCTTTCTATTCATGACAAGATTGCATGATTCTTTGTCCATGAAGTGAGGTAGAAATCCATTCTTCTTCAGGTCATGCCCGAGTTTCTTCTCCCAAATCGTCAATTGATCTCTGATTGACTTGAAACTTGCGCCTATGCTTCACTTTATGTGCTATGACCTGAAATGTGACAAAGGAACACAACCTAGCATAAAATAAGCCAAAGACGCGATAATTCAAGCTCAAACAATCAAGAAACAAAGGGGAAAACATGTGCAAATACCGAGTCATCACTTGGTGTCTCGGATTTCAGACTCAGACTATGCTGGAGATGTTGACACGAGGAGATCGATGACCGGTTATGTATTCAATTTTGGGTTCTGTACTGACATTATCTACTACTAAGACAAAGTATATGAAGTTGACAGAAGCTGCTAAGGAGGAAATATGGTTGAAGGGACTGGTTGGTGATCTGGGTCTACATCATGATCAGGTAGTGGTGTATTGCGACAGTTTGAGTGCAATATTTTTGGCTAAGGATCAAGTCCATCATGAGAGGACTAAGCACATCGACATGAGGTATCATTTCTTGAGGACAGAGAAGAGGATTAAGGCGAAAAAGGTTGGCACCAAGGATAATCCTGCTGACATTTTCACGAAGCCGGTTCCACATGGCAAGTTCAACACTGCTTGGACTTGCTGAATGTCTTGAGTGAGTGACTCCGCCCTATGGGGCATTGATGGAGAGAGAGAGAGAGAGAGAGAGAGAGAGAGAGAAGGAGCAGATTACATCAGAGATTACAGAGGAAGAGAATTCAAGTCAAGGTGGAGATTTGTTGAAGTGACTTGAATCGAACTATCAGCCGCTATGACTGGAATCTGTAACCTTTTCCTTTACCAGATTGCATTAGGTTTAGACCCACATGGAGAAGTATAAATACTTCTCATCTCCTCTGTAATCTATAATCTCCTCGATATAGTGAAACTGGCTCTCCTGCCCGTGGACTAGCTAACGCACATTGTGTTAGTGAACCAAGTAAATCGTGTGTATTGTGCTTTTTGTTTTTGTTTTCTTGCTTTGTCGATTCCAGCGATTTCCCGATCTGTAGCAACTCGGTTATAACATGTCAAGATAAAGAGATATTTTGTCATAATATGATCAAATTTTGTCACGATAGTTGCAAATTTGATATGTTGTTGTGACAAATTGTACATTTACGACAAATGAATTTGTTATGAAAGTATTTCATATTATCTAAAATGAGTTTATTGTGTCGAAATTGTTTTCTGTCAAAATAAGTTTGTTATGACAGAACACTGTTGTCATACTTACATTTATGAAAAGTCTAAATATTTTGTGACGAAGCCAGTTTGCCATAATCTAACATGTTAATTCTATCACTAAATCTGAAAAAATGATTAACAATGCTATTGCGAACAACAAGGAAACAGAAATATTTAATAATCTCAATATGATCCTTAAATAACAATCTTGAAGAGTATCATCATAACATGAGATTCTACTTTCTAGTCTTCACAATGCTAGGGACTTCTTGACAACGGAAGCTTTTGCTACCTCTTGCATTTCCTATACTACTAACCAGTGAACCAAAGCCTCGCATGATCCCCTAGTTTCCATGAACTTGATGAGTGGTAGTGATGATAGTTAAGACAACCATATATGTGTGAATTCACAACCTACAGCAACACAAAGATAAGTAGATAGCATCTAATTAAGAAAAAAGTCTTAAGGAAAACAACATCAAGACATTCATAACGGTTGAAGAGCTTTGTATGGAGTATTCAGGGAGCAACTGATCACTACTGAAAAAAGGCCATACTACTGGAAAACATGCCATGATGACCTCTGTTGACACCCAAAATATTTTTGATTCAATTAAATGCTGCATTAATTAGTCTCGGCATT